ATATATTTTCAAAAATTATTTGATACGTAACATACTCCTTCTGAAATAAGAAAGATTTGGCCTTTCAGATGCATTAGTTACACTTCTTACTTAAGTGACAAACAATTTATGATCTGATATCAAATTTTCACTTGGTCACTTTCTTTTCTAATTTGGGCCACATATTATTTCAATATTTCATTAACGATCTTCCAAAAGTCATCAGTTGTGAGTGAGAATTTGTTATTTGCTGATGATTTAAATTATATTTTCCTATAGATTCAACTCATCTACAACAATACATCAATCAATTGTCATCGTGATGTGAGATATACCGTACAAAACCCAATATATTTAGCCAGATAATGAATACCACTATAAATACAATGAAATGCTTGACAGCACTAAATGTAAATAGGCAATTACTATAAAAGTTATCTAAAAAATTCTTGAATTATTTAAAGGAACCATTATTTATAAATGTTTCCATTATCTCTTATCTTCATTTTTGATATTCTATACCATAAGTTTTTGACCCAACCCTGTAGATATACCTAATGGCAATGGACAGCTATTCCACTTATTCTACGTGAATAACACAATTTTATCAACATTAACTCATTCGCGTTTTTCACAAGATAACCCAGGAAATATTATTTAATAGAGTTTTGCATATTCCAGCGCATAGGCAGCTTACAATGTCGAAACATTTTCTGATCGTGTTGTCTTTTGTCAACTTTATAATCTGCTGCTCTAGCGTTACAGAGGAAATTATAGATCATTACGAGAAAGTTATTCTGGAGGAGAAAGAGAAAGCCAGAAGTTATGAATTACCAAGCAATGCCCACATGTACATTCCAGAATATAACGATCCACCTCTGGGCAAGTAGAACTTTTAAAGTCTAACAAACCACAGTAGTGTTTTTGAATTATGATGATCTGTTAATGATGTAGATATTGGGAGTCAATATAACTAAGCACCTTAGAAACCCAACACTAGTAGAATTACAATTATTTGAAACGTAACTAGGAGTTATAAGTGAAATTTCTAAAAAACCCAGTGATATTGACCTTAGGGATCCTTACAGAGGTATCGGTTAACTAATTATACTGGAATTTAATGTATTTTTCCATTTAAGTAGATCAATAATTAGCAAAAGTTTCACCACTTTACATTAAACCGCCTACAAGATATTTTAGTCCAAATCTTTTCAAAAATTGCTTTCTAAGACATTTTCTTTTTGACTACCTGAACTGAAATTTATTGAAATATCCTTTCTTAATTTTTTTTTTGTACATATACATTTTTTAATTGAACCATATATATTTTTAACTTTGCGAACACTTACAAGTTCAGAGTTTCTTAACATCTTGCTAGTATTGAAGTTTTTGATTAAACATTTTCTTTTCATTATTTACAACTTTCCGCCCCTTTTCAGATTTTGGTACGTTTGATTTTATAATAGCAGGGGCCGGATCGACAGGGTCTGTGATAGCCAGGCGCTTGTCGGAAATAAAACAGTGGAATATCCTAGTTTTGGAAGCTGGCGAATTCGGTAATGAAGTAACTGACATCCCGAGAATAAGCTACGATGTCGTCATGGCAAGCGACTATAATTGGGGGTACTACTCTGTGCCGCAAAAGAATTCCTGCTTAGGTAGTAATTTTCCGTTGTTTATGTTCTGTAAACCTTGATATTTTACTTTTGAAATTAATAACAATTCTTTATCAATAAAGTAGGGGAGACAGAGTTGGCTGTATCGGGGTACAATTGTACCAGTATACATATATAACACACTGGTGAAGTCATATTTGATCGGTAAGGACAGTCACCGTTATAGCTAGTATGTATAACCATTTAGAATGATCTATCAACCGACGAGATGTATGAACGTTTTTAAACATAATTTTATATTATTGTATATGTATATCACAGGCTAATACAATTCAATGTATTTTATTTATCATAAAGTATCAGAATTGTACTTCTCAAATTTATATAGCTTATTATAGACTGATTATTCTCTTCTATTCTATTTATTATTCAAATTAAAAAGAAGAGAAAAACAGATACATTTTTGCAATTTACACCTATTTACAAAAGGGCTTAAAAAATAGAAGGCCCTAGTATGTATCTTTAATGTGTTGTAAAGAAAGACAGCCATAAGTGTTTGATGCAGTGACTCTGCTCTAAATATAGAAAAAAGTTTGGAAACGCTATCCGGTTATTTTTAGGAATGGAAGAGGAGCGTTGCCCCTTTCCCAGGGGCAGGGGCGTAGGTAGAACCTCTCTCCTCAACGGCCTGGCGTACGCCCGATGCAGCAAAATCGACTACGACATTTGGTGCGCCCAAGGCAACCCCGGGTGGTGCTACGAAGACGTGCTTCCATATTTCAAAAAATCGGAAGACTTCCGCAAAAACGACCCCGACGCAGTGGTCGACATGGCTTTCCACGGAGTTGGTGGGCCTCTTCATGTTAACTTTCCCATGCCGAGGGCTGAACAGTGCAAGGTATTCTTCAAGGCCAACGAAGAGCTAGGGTACCAGCAAATCGAGTGGAACGGACTCAATGCCACGGGCGTGAGCCCTAATCAGGTCAACGTGAAGCACGGGAAGAGGCAAGACAGTGACACTGCTTTCTTAAAACCCGTGTTGGATAGATCCAACCTGGTGGTACTTACTAAGAGCTTTGTCATGAAAATAGTAATTAATGAGTTAAAGGTGGCGGAGGGGGTAACCTTCAGTTATAAGGGAAGGGTGTATACAGCCATCGCTTCCAAGGAAGTTATAGTGTCCCTAGGCGCAATCAGCTCGCCACAACTGCTGATGGTTTCTGGAATTATTCCAGGTGAACACCTCAAGGAATTTGGTATGTGAAATGAGTTGGTACGAAATAAAAATTATACAAATTTGTTTAATCACACAACACCGGACATTTTTAATCTCTGCTAATAAATCGTCCATTTTGTTTACTCTCATGACACGTGATTTAAACACGTGGAAAGCATTACAATGACAGTAACGTTTTTTCTGTATGGTTTGAATTAGGTTAATACCTGGATAAAAAGTAAGATAGAAAGTTTTAACATTTTACTTTAAAATTTCAGGTATTCCCTTAGTCCAAAATTTGGAGGTAGGTAGCGCCTTATCCGACCACGTTCAAACATACGGATTAACCTTCTCAAGTAACCTCAGCGAGCCAGTTCAGACTTTAAGGGAACAAATTAAAGACTACTTGGCTGGCGTCGGACTTCTGAGCCAACCCTTAAACCGACAAGTCCTTGGATATTACCAAACTTACGTGGAGATGATTCCAAACTACCAAGACCTAGAAATAAGTTTCTACTTTTCTAACGCAACGACTTTCACCTTAAATAAGTTGCAGCGTTGGAAAGAAAGCGTCTCTGAAGCGATCGAAGGTGTTGACAGCTCAAGTTCTTTCAGCATGTACCCCACCCTTTTACATTTGAAGTCGACTGGAACCCTCAGATTGAAAAGCGCCTCNTTTTCAGTTTTTGAATTTGAATAGGCTTTCCTTGCCTTAACTGGAGATTTGTTTGCTTCAATACATGATAAATTTTTAACCGAGTAAAAAGTGACAAAAAGAAGTTGTAAGGAAATTTTTTACAAGGATGAGGATTAAATATTTCTTTTAATTCATTTTTAAGTTTGTAAATAATATGAAAGCAGAAATCAAGATACCTAACTGTTATAATGATTTACCAAACGTTCACTATGATTCATCAAACGAAAAGACGAAAACCAGACCTGGCAACGAGATGCCCAACTAGTGTCGACCTTCTCTTGTTTTCCATTTCACTCATTTGCGTGTCTCCTGTTGTCACTGACAAAGATAGCTAGATATGCGAGGATGTCTATAATTAAATCAGTCTCATAAATTTACTATAGTTTACTATTACCTGCGCCAAGTGCATCATTTTTCACTCAAATTGTATGTCCCTGGCGCATAGTGACAAAGATAGAAATTTGGTCGACGGCATGAATGAATGTGAAAACTCTTATTAGTTTATTCTCTTTGACAGTGCCAAGCTAATGTAGTCGCCTTGCTATTGACCAATTTTTGGTAGGCTATGGTAGAAGCTATGCGCGGTGCTCCATTATAGCGATATCCTGAGAGTCTAATACTTAGACCATTTCTTAAAAAGGGGTCTATACGGAGTATAGGAATCACCAACGTATCTGATTGGATGGAAAATAGAAAGTTCTTTTAGTTTGAATATTTGTAGCAATTGTTTAACTTCCTAAATTTTGTTAGTTAAGACTCGTCAAGACAGAAGCGTCATTAACGACTAGTTTCCAGAAATAAAGTTGCTGTGTGTCGATGTATATGTATATTTTCTTGTGGTTATTTTTAGGAATGGAAGAGGAGCGTTGCCCCTATCCCAGGGGCAGGGGCGTAGGTGGAACCTCTCCTCAACGGCCTGGCGTACGCCCGATGCAGCAAAATCGACTACGACATTTGGTGCGCCCAAGGCAACCCCGGGTGGTGCTACGAAGACGTG